TATGCACATTTTCACCAATAAAACTTGCATTCCTCATAGTATAAAAGTTGGAATACATTCCTCTACTTATGACTGCTATAATATACTTTATTTTGTTTTTAAATATATGTGATTGTGGCAACTGCGTTGGATTGATTGGCTTTAACAATCACAGTAAGATAAGTAAACAGAATTTTAATCACTTTACTATAGCTCAGCATTTCAATTTACCTAATTATAGTATAGACAATGCTAGATACGTTCTTCTTGTTTCTTTTAATTGACTATGCAGCCGTCAGAAATTCGAACGTAATTACATTCTCAGACTTAATACACAGAATTTAAGATTAAACAAAACTTAAGAATTCTGACTGAGTAAGTTTTATAACAATAACAACTGCATTTCTTTAAAGTTCTACAGTTGGCTAAGTGTATTGATTTTCAAGGCGTTGCTTAGATGTGTCACAAGAACAAAGTATGAGGGGCATCCAGTGAGGATCGAACTCACCACTCAGTCTTAATTGTCCTAGCGAGACAAGCTTGCTAACCATTACACCACCTTGAGGTGCCCATGTTGATTAGGTGTATGACCAAAACAAAGGCTTTTATAGAATTCAAAGAACGTAAGAAAGTCTTTGCCTTGCCATCGCCTTATGGATTGACTAATCCTGCCAAAAGCCAGTAAATGTATTATTGATAACTTATGCAGTAAAGTTCGCTAATTATTACACTCGAACTAGTGGAGAACTAGAAGAGTGGATATTAACTGGTTAAATGCTATTAATATTAAGGGAAAGACTGTTTTGTGCAATTTTATATAAAATACATTTTTCATTCGAAGAGATGCTGGATAAAGATCTGATGAGTAAATTCATATCGTCAAGTATTGCCATAAATTCATACTGTTCCATACAGAAAATGTGTGGAGGAAAAAAATGGGAATGTTGATGTATTCCATATAACAATGGTTAAATTGACGAGTCGAATGTCTGTACGTTTGTGGGTTATATGGTGGATAAGAGCGACATTGGGTTGTAGCGAGACAATGGATTTCTATCGTTTCTAACACGAATGGAAAAGCAGTAGACAATAAAAGGAAAAATCGTTTTTTTGAAGATTCTGGATTTACTTTGATAAGAACTAAGCTTGAGACAGTTAATTTCCTCGCCTTATTGTTACGCGTTATCTAGAAAATTCCAATGAAATAACATCGTTCCAAAGGAGATGTTACGCAAATCGTACTGCACTATAGAAGTTCATATAGGACCATTAATGTACATACAAAAAAAACTATGTAATTGTCTGAAGGATTATAAAAATGTCAAAAGCAAGTGGAACTGGTCCCAGGAAATAAGAATTTTTTTTTATCATTTTACCATAAGGAAGGCGATAAAGCCACTAAGATACAATTGTTTGCCGAAAGTGAAAGAAATTGAGGAAAATATTACGGTAATAAAAGGACAGGATTCAAGTGGACAGAAAGCGGGGATTAAAATTCAAATTTTTGAAGGTTGTAGTTGTCAGGAAAACAAGTTTCGGAAGAGAGTTTCACAAGCGAGAAGTAAGCATAAGATATCCCCCCCCCCACACACATAAAATATGCCTCCTCAGTCGAAGATCTGAACTGATTGATAAATTTAGTAATAAGAATAAGCACTTGCTTCGATATAAATCAGCTTGAAGCAAATGCACGCCAAACAATTTGATAAGAAGACGTGAAGTACTTCAGTTTCGCTTTTATCATGTTAACAATACTAATGTAAGATAGTAAAACTCAGTTTTATTTAACAATGGTTTTCTAGTTACAGAAATGAAAAAGAAAAAGAAAACTTCTAAAAATTACTGTGTTCATCATTTAACCTAGGAAGACGGTAAATATATCGGCCTAGACGGTGTATTAAAACAAAAATTTCTCTATTTTTCTTAATTTTATCAAGCAAGCCTATTATTTTCTTTGTTTCTATTATGGGAACTTACCCATAATAATAATGGACTATTCCCGGCATTATAATATTGCGGCTCTCAAGAGGTATGAGGACATCGTAAGACAAGGAGAGATAATTGAGAGCATATTGTAAGGACATTGGAATAGTGATACTTGTCGAGACAACATAGTTCACTCTAACCAAATCTGATAGTCATTACTAATACTTCTACTTTGTATTATATTTCTGTTGTAATATATCTTTGTATTCCATACCTGTGTTCGTGTTATTCTTTTATTGGTTCTAACCTTGGACCATCACCGTGGTACAAGGAACTTGGATCATAACAGTTTCAATTCATTTTACTGCTTTTTTGTTTGGAGGAGGTGAATCATGTGGTCATCCATGCAGAGATTAAATAAGTGGAATCTATCTATCTATCTATCTATCTATCTATCTATCTATCTATCTATCTATCCATCCACACACACACACACACACACACACACACACACACACACATATATATATATATATATATATATAAAAAAACAAAGGATTTCTGTGTGTCTGTCTGACTGTCTGTGTGATACCTTTTCATTCGAGATCCATCCAACCGCTTTTGACCAAACTTGGTACATACATTGTACACTGTAAGAGATAGGTTCTTAGCCTAAAAACGGAATATTTTTTAAATCAATAATCGATAAAGCCGATCAACAATCCATAAATTCAATTGTTTCTTCCGATTTCGTTCAAAGTCGGTATGTAGTTTACTTTCATCATGACGAGCTCAACGATACCTCATTTTTTTTTATCTCTACGCCACTGCGGTTAGCGAAAAACCGCGAAAAACGAAAAATCGATTTCAACAGAAATCGATTTCAACAGAAATCGATTTCAACACAAATTTTAAACTAAAACTCCCTCAATTTTCAAGCAATCTAATACAAACTTCACTCAACTGTAGCCAAGAATAAGTTGATTGTTTAACAGTCATTTAACTTGATAATTGAGTCCACCCATATAGTGAAAAACAGCGTAAATAGCGAAAAGTGGCAATTTTTACTGGTTTCTTTCTTATTTTTCGTTGATCTTACGAACAATTTTCATCAAACTTAACAATTGTTTTATAAATGTATCCTCTTTTACATCTCTGGTAGCATACTGACAAAATGAATTTCAAAACCCGCAAAATAATTGTGGTCTGAAGTGGGTCTTCATGTTGCCTGTTTTACCCCTTCATGTCCTCGGATAACTTCGATTGAATAAATACAGACTACTTCTGTTATATCAGTAACTGCATTAATTCAAAATGTTTTTTAATGAAAGTACTTTAAAGTAATTGAAGAAAATAGACTCTGTTGCTTATAAATACGATGGTGTTTTTACTTCATTCTAATTAAACACTTTTTTTTGATCGATCAGCTGGGTACACCTGCTCGTACTAAATAAAATAGTAAGTGTTCTGCACCTGTAACATATTCATGAATAGACGGTATGATGAAATTTGTCACTTGTTAGACAAATAAGTATTGTTTCATTTTAGAGAATATATTGAACTTTCGCTAAGACTTCTACTTGATATTGTTCACCTGACAGCAACAAGAGTAAGTGTGAAAGAATTTAATGGAATCAGATATTCGCCTCTTCTCTTTTTTGGAGCAGAAAAAAAATCAATGTTGCTGTCCGCGTATTTTATACAATATTTTATATTGAGAAAGTGTTCTTTTTTGAAAGCAGTATCTTACATTTCCATCGAGAATTGGACGACACTCTCCAGCAACAAATGAAGACTTTAAAAATCACACTGATTGATACTTGCAAGGGCCCCAGAGAGTAAAAAAATATATATATATATATATATTCAGATTTAAGTGATATTTGTAACAAAAATTGTTGTTTCAAAATCATCTTAAGAAAACATAACTATTTCAACTTGTATTTGAGAAATAATTTAAATGGAATCGCACATCAGAAATTAACGAAGAAAATTTGGAGTCACAAAAAATTTTATCTGCAGATAATCCCACCTTTGAGGACCTTCATTAAAAGCAAATATTTCTGTGTATATTTCTAAGATTAGGTATTTTAATTATCTACACTATTTACAATGCTCGGACTGTCGTCCTCATCTTTGTTGCCACATTCACGACGTTTCGGTCGTTGTGCACTTTGGCCTTATTCAGATGATTGGAATTTCGAAATGAACCCTTTCGTCCACCGAGGTAGATTGTTCTAGTTCCACATGCCATGCCTATTCCGGATGTCTCAGCATCAGATATCTCCTTTTAACTTAATCCTCGAATTTTTTGTTGATCTCAGCTGTAAGCAAGTGTTCAACTCAAAAACTCTTTGGATCAAATCCTCAAGTACACATGACCCAGTGGATAAAAGCGTTGGTTGAATCCAGTGACTTCATAAATATGCAGGGAAGATTCTGGTGAGAATAATTGTCCAGCACGACACAGTGAATCAACTTTCCTAGCAATAGAGCTGGCAATAGATTCAATATAATCATCTACTTCATGTCAGTGGAAAACGTGAGACCTAGAGGGCGAGCATTATTGTTCTACTAGAGTTTAGCATTAGTCGTGCTGATGACAGGCGGAAATGGATTTTTGTGGTGGAGGCGTTAAAATGTCATCCCTTGCCAAAGTTAACCCCTGATTGAAAATCCTTTTAAAGCGCAGTAACCAGTTTACTTTGTCGAATCTGTCAGAATTGCTACTAAAATAGGTGTAAAAAGTAGTATCATCGGCATAGATACCAACTGGGGACTGATGACATCGGGAAGGTCGTCGATGAAGATCAGAAACAGTGTAGATCTAGAGTCTGTCTAGATTTCTGAGATGAGGTATTATGTACATTATTTACATTATTCGGACTTTTGTCCTCATCTTTGTCGCCATATTTATCACAACGTTTCGGCCGTTGTACGCTCCGGCCTTCTTCAGGTGGTTGGAATGTCGAACTGAACCCTTTATTTCGCTCACTGGGGTAGACTGTTCTAGTTCCATGTGCCATGTTTGATGGATGTCAACTATCAGTTATCTCCTAGTAATTTTCCCTCTGAAATTTCTCCACTGCCTTAAGTGTAGATCTATCTATCTATCTATCTATCTATCTATCTATCTATCTATCTATCTATCTATCTATCTATCTATCTATCTGATATAATAGAAAATGCATACACCTGATTTACCCCTCACTGGAATATGATTGGCTGGTGCCCGTAATAAATACAGACGGACGTGTAGGTACGACAGAGTTTAAGTCTATGACGACGCCCATTGGACTACGCCAATAGCTATACTATTGGTCTACAGCTATTACCTGCGACTACGACGAGTACCAGTCGATTACTGCTACCGTGTACTATTTGGTTACAGTAGCCAAACCACTTAGCTACTTCGAACAAATATATCCATTTCCGGGACATATCACTAGATCTATCTATCTATCTATCTATCTATCTATCTATCTATCTATCTATCTATCTATCTCAGTCTGTCCATATCTATCTATCTATCTATCTATCTATCTATCTATCTATCTATCTATCTATCTATCTATCTATCAGTGTATGTGTGCGCATGTGCGTGTTCAAAAACAAGTTTCTTTGTGTATTTTGGGGAATAAATGTTATCGTGCGTACTGTATTTGGTGTTTACATGATTTTAGTAAGTATTATACCCACACATATATGCCAGCCTATCCTATTAGTGTATACGTATATATATATATATATATATATATATATATATATATATATATATGTGCACGAATTTGCACTCATATATGTGTAGATATTATGTATATGCGTGTTTGTGTGTCCGTGTGTGCGTGACCGTTGTGTGTGTGTTGACAAAACGAATATTTAATAGTTCATTATATCTTTATATATCTTAATATAACCTTATATACAAATAGTGTAGTATTCGTTTGTGTCTTATGTAGCTCTTCCCTGCTGGAGGGTTTGATTAATTCCACGGTCAAATTGTCGAGCCATCTTTTCAGGGGAAGAGATTACCGACTATCGTGTTAGGAAGAATGATGTGTTTTAAATCTTCCTGTAGCACACCGATACTAATGTTAGCATTATCGTAGCCATTGATACACTAACATTGGATGCGAATATAGAAAGACGAAATACGCGAGAGTAACAAACAAAACATTTAATAAGGCAAACAACTTACATATATTAAAAAGATTTACATATGTCCCAAAACAAATGATTGTTCATATTATCCCAAATGAACGAGGAGGTTTACAGAACGTGAACAAAAAAATAACATACCAGCTTTATGGCCTTTGATCGCCCGCAGATAAGTAAATAGAAATGTTTTCTTTCGCTAGGCGGTGCACATGATAACCAGTTTTCACGTGTGTGGACGATCTGGTGGTCAGGAAGGTTGTTCCTCAAAAAAAAAAAAAAAATAAAACAAAAAAACAAAAAAAAAAAACGGAAGCAAAAACTAAAAGGGACAGAAGAATTCTCCTCTCTAAAGGGGTCGAACACCCATGAACTCAACCCAAGGGTAAACAACTGTGGTCTCCCTACACCTGTAAACAGTTTATCTTAAGTCGGACGGCCTTGTCTCCTAGTTCTTGAATCTTTTATTCCCTCATGTATTCTTTTTCATGTAGTCGAATTATTTCAGCACTCTTACCGTATATATATTTTCATTAACGTTCATATAATTTTTGTTAATACTCTGTTCTCATAGTGAGTTAAAAAAAACTTCTAGATATTCTAATTAGGCAAGTGAATTTTCATAACAAACCGAACCTAAAAAATCCGTTATATTTTCTTCTGTTGTTTTTCTATCAGTTGGTCTATTATTTGAAAATAGTCTATTGTTGAATAGCCACTCCTAAAATCTGCCTGTTCATATGGACGATTTGCATTTGTGTTGTTTGTTTGTAAGTACAGTTGAGAATACTTTTTTTTTCCCCAAAATGGTTCGGGGAATACAGATTCGAAATTACTTTATCACGAATGTTTTGTCATTCTTCTCAGCAGTAAACCAAAAGCTCTGTTAAACTTTCTGATTTTCTGTTTTACATACGGATTTTCAGCTCTCTCGACACAGGTTTGATTATATTAAGGCCACAGTTTGGGTCCATCCAATCTTGCAAACTAGCAGTGTCTACATCAGTGAAAAACCTGTTTGTTGCACGCATTATGTGACAACATGACCAGTCATAATGGAATAATTCACCTTCTACTTGGGCACCTCGGGGTGGTGTAATGGTTAGCAAGCTTTTCTCGCTACGACTGAGTAGTGAGTTCGATCCTCACTGGGTGCCCCAAACTTTCGGCCTTGTGCCACATCTGAGCTACGCTTGGAAAATCACTAATTCACCTTCTACTTTACGTGATAATAGGTACAAATAAACAAGTATCGTGCATTGTTTCGTATTTTTTAAGGCAATTCACCTCAAACAAGGCGGGAGTGCCACTAGCACGCAATGGGTTACAGAGGACTGAGAACAAGAGTAAAAAAGGCGTGTTTGAGGATAGGATATAGAGAAAGACGGGGAACAAGCTCGATTGACATTACACTTGAATATTTGAAGATTATAGTCGTCGGAGAAGCAAGTAAGGGGAAGGGAGCTGCACAGAGAGGAAGTGCAGGAAAAGAAGCTGTTTGAGGAGAAGAGATGGTTCGATTTAACCATTTTGACAGTGAAAGAGTTGTACCGAGATGCCAGCCTAGTAGCTCGTTTAAATTCATATAGTCCGGGAACCAGCGAAAGTAGCTCGTTGGAACAGTTGCCGTGAAAATATTTGTAGAAGAGACAGAGGGAGGCCACAGCACGTCTGTGGGATAGCGATTGCAGACTAGATGCTAGATCAGGACCTATCATCTTGCATATTCGTCTCTGGATTTTGTCAAGGACCTCAAGTACAGCGGGAGCACCAGACCATATATGACAGCAATATTCAATGCAAGGACGGATGGTTGATTTATAGATTTGCAGGTTGGACTCGGACGGGAAAAACCTTCTGGCAAAACACAGAGAGCCAACTTTTCTTGCGGTAGATGAAGCTATTGATTCAATGTATTTATTCCACCTCATGTCAGTGGACAGCGTGAGACCAATCAGGCGTAACGAGGCGCTCTCAAGGATTTGGGAATCAGTCATTCTGATGAGAGGCAGAAAGGGTTCTCTGTGGTGGGTAAAGGAGAGCAGTTTCGTTTTGGAGGCATTAAAGTTTACAAGCTATTTCCTGCCTCAGTCAACCACAGATTGGAGTTCCTATTCGAGATCAGCAGCCAGGCTAGTTTTGTCAACGATACTAGATTTACTATTGAGGCACGAGGAAATCGTTGTGTCGTCCGCTTAGATGCCAACTTGGAAACTGATGATGTCGGAAAGGTCATTGATGAAGATCAGGAACAGTGTAGGGCCCAAGATAGAGCCTTGGGGCACAACCAGCGTTTGTGATAAGCGAGCCGGAGGAGAACCCGTTTAGGACGACCTTTATTTCATAAAGCTTACGAAGATGGCCAGCATGCGAAACCCTATCAAACGCTCGAGCTTCTCCATTATTTTAGATTGCTTCGTATACAAATTCAGTTATGGCGGTGAGCACTTCAGCGGTAGATCGGGCAAAGCGGAAACCATATTGCTTGTTGGAGAGCAGATTATGTGAAGTAGGATGCTTAACCACTTCCACGGTCTTTTGGAGGTCTTCCAACAGGCTGGAAAGCAAAAGTCGGTTAGAGAGTAGTTGTAAAGTTTAGAGAGGACATGAACCAATTCAGAAGCACATTTCTTCATGACAATGGCCGGTATCCTGTTCCCACCATATTGTGGAGTATTTTCACAGTGGAGGCTTGTATTTCTAATAAGTCGTCCTAAATTAGGTCCGACGTACAAAAAGTTAGGAACTTGGAAAATAAGACTCAAGGCGCAGCAATCTAGTTGTGATGGTTGGTACTTCAAATGTCCGAATATCGACTGACGCGCTCAACACCGTTCTGCCAGACTTGCCACTGCTACTCCTACTTATTATCTATGGGAGAGTCCATTACAATAGAATAGGTACTATGGCATAACACACCACTAGCCTTATGAGAGTCTAGTTTAGAGAAGATGTCCAGTACCATCGTTGGGGTTATGTGCATCTCACTCACGACCATTGCATCTAGTGCATTGTTTCTTACATCAACTATTTCATTAAAATGTTCTTTTGCCCAGATTGTCGATCATCCCCTTTTTTGGTTGGTGTGGCTTTTTGCTACAAAGCACTCACTTAGTTCATTTCTACACAATTGTAGGAATGATATTTTACGTGTAATGCTATTTCTATTATTATCACCGAGGGAAGGTTACTGAATAGAATAATCACACGAAGGTTAGTAATGAACGATAATACTTAGGGCACGAACAACACATATAAGATTCGCCAACGGCACATAGAAGTAGTCAACTGTTAGAAGTGAGTCAAGTGATTTCCACAATGAATCTCCAACTGCAGACCAACATACAGTATTTACTACTGTAGTTATGTGAATGAGGACATATCCATTACCGTCCGTAGGTATGCTACAACATTTATCCATTACTTGACAAGCCGTTACCTTTGGGTTGGATACTGACTACATAGCTAGCTTTCTTTGATCTCCCATACCTAAGGTATACCAGACATTTACTTATTCAAAACGCTTTCAACATCAGGCTTAATATTCTAAGCAACTTGGCTATTTCACGTTGACTCATCATTTGTAGTATTTCATTGATCTGAATCCTTTTCTCCATATTTACTCTTGTCGAAAGGTTTATGCAATTTGAGAACACTATAAACTTCTTAGCATATTTAAATTTCTGAAGAATTCACATATGAGGGACGGGTAGTTGGCTCATAGCATCTTGGGCATGCGAAATTACCAATGCATTTAGATATGTACATTTCTTCTCCCTATGTCAATGTGATTGTGGCAGATTATTCTACGATCCTCAATAACCAACTATGCCTATATTGTTGTCAAGACTTACTTTTTAGTAAATATATGAAACAAACAAATCTTTTTCTTGGGTGGCTGACTTATTTTGATCGTCTTTCTCCTTATCTCTTTCACTAACTCTTTCTCTCTTTCTATTTCTTTATATCCCCCTCTCTCTCTATATATATATACATTCTTTCTTTCTCTCTCTCTCTCT